TGTTTGCCATGTACTCTCCGAGTTCTTATTCGTACGAGTTCTCATATGTAGCAGCTCTCATTTTCCGACTTCTCATCCCTGGTACCACCTCGCAAACGGGTCGAGTTAGCTTTTAAGGCTTCCAGAAGCTTCCATAGCATAGTAACAAAATTACCGACGACGTAGCTGCTCACAGGCTCAATATTTTCTGACCAACTAAAATCGATAATATAGAACTTGTAAAGCACTACAAGATGGTACTACTCATGAAGCTGTAACTAGTCTAGGAAGAAAGTTACAGTAGTACAAAACCAATCGAAGGCGAAGCACGGGCGGTTTTGGCCTGTAACTTTGTTCATAGACAAGATACAGTTTTTTGAATAGTATCATCTTGTAGTTCTTGTCAAGTTCTATCACATACAATTTAGTTGGTCCAAAAATGTTGATTCTGTGAGTAGCTACATCGTAGGTAGTTTTGCCACCAGTAATAGATGGGTCCCTAACTTTGAGCCAATTTATCTGACTTACTGTAGAAGATATCAAGAAGTGGCCAACTGATAAAATGTTTCTGATGTTATTATCAACGTTTTATTAGTAGAACACTTTTGAAATATCTGCTACAGTGACCGAGATAAACTGGCTCAAAGTTAGAGGCCCTTCTCTTCCTGGTTTCACGGTATGCTGAAAATGAGGGAATTTTGAAGCATCTGGAAGGCTTCAAGAAAATCCTGGAGCTTCCTGGAGGCCTCTAGAAGCTCCTAACTCTCTAGGAACAGCAGTAGCTTGTACAGTTCGCCAGAGCGCATTTGCAAAAGCCTCCTCACCTTTCGCGCCCAGCGATGGAAACTGGCTCTCGTCAATAATTGTTGCGTTGGAGAGAAAATTGGAATGCTGGTGCTGTTGATAGAACGGCGGCTGATGGTGATGATGGAATTGTTGGTGTTGCGTTTGTTGTGATGGCAAACGTCGTTCGGTAGCTACTCCACCGACTGCAAAAAAACGAAATTTAGCAAATTCGCTCCATTGAGAATTTTTGAAAGTTTGGGATTTGTGGACTCGCTTTGCCGAAGTCCAGAAAGCTTTTTGAGCCATGATCAAATGTCAAATCATCAAAGAGGCTACCAAAAGATAGGTCGGTACTATCGGTTTGTATGAAAGTGCGCTCCATTGACAAAAACTCATTTTGGCTATAACTGACTTCATAGACAACCTATAAATCTGAATGTACCATCAAACAATAGGAAATTCAAATCCACATCTTTCAATGTTAAATTTATTTATTTTGAATTAGCAGGGACCTCTGCAATTACGCTCTATTGATAAAAATTGAGGGTTGCATATGGTTTTGACTATAACTTAGCTCAAAATAGTCCTAACACGCTGAAAGTAGTATTTCTAGATAGAGCATTAAATTTTACATCGGTTGATTTAAATGTTAACTTTTTTAGGTTAAGAGGCAACCCAGGAAAGGCGCTCCATTGACAAATTTCAAAGTTCATGTCTGATTCTGACCATGACTGGCTTCAAAATAGGTCTACCAAATTGAAAATAGTGCCATTAAAAAGCTAGTAAAATTTTTAATCGATTTACATTAAAGTGAATTTTTGGCGTTCACAGATAACTCAGTAATTGCGCTCCACTGACAAAGTTCAAGATCCATTTCTGATTCTGGCTATCACTTGCTTCAAAATGGTCCTAGACATTTTAAAATGGCACCATTCAAAAGCTACTAAAATTTCACATTGTTTTGCACTAAGTTATATTTTTGGCGTTTATAGATAGCTCAGAAAACGCGCTCCACTGACAAATTTACGATTGTGCCTATAGCTCGCTTCAAAATGGTCCTAGTGATTTGGAAATGGTACCATCAGAATGCTAACATAATTTAAAAAATTTTTCTTTTTGAAATTCAATTACTAGAGTTTACAGAAAACTCAGTATTTGCGCTCCACGGATAAGTTTCAAACTTCTGGGCATAACTTGCTTCAAAATCATCCTAGTGATTTGAAAAGGATACCATTCGAAAGATAGGAAAATGTTGCATTTTTTGATATAAAAATCAACAAAATAAGTTCAAGAATTGATAGTTTTTGAACTAGATAACTTCAAATTTCTGGTGCCGATCGATACCAAACATTCAAAATCATCGAGTTGTCAATAGAGCGCACTTTCTTCCTGAAAAACAGATTTTTCTATAAATCCTTACCAGAATTCATAAGCACTGCGCTTATGTGATGATCCTATCCGGTTTTGTGTAGAAGCTACTTTCTACGCATATATCTGAAATTTTTTGAAATTTAAAGAAATATTAAAGGGACATAGTTGAAAATTGAAATCGGGGAGAAAAAACCAGAAGAAGGCAGTTTGTCATCATATGACAGAGAAACCGCTTCTTCTTCATTTTCGTCACCACCCGTTCGGTTTTCCAAAAGCAAAAAAAAACCAATGAAGAAGAAGAAGAAGAAGAAAAAGGGGGAAGAAGAAAATCGAACAATGTCTGTCTCTTTCTCCACACAAACTCTCTGCGTCTCCGAATCTCTCCCATTTTTCCATCGCATTTGCCCTCGAAACACAGAGACAGGCGTGCTATGAGAGACGGAGACAAGGCTGACCGTAATCCCCAGAGAGACCTGCCGATCTAACTAGTGGAAATAGTGTGGGTAGAGAGTGGAGAGTGTGTCCCGCGGCGTAGCACGCGACGACGGTCCTAAGGGAACACAGCCCGATGCGTTTACGTGTGTGTGCAATCGAGCGCACTTGCATTTCGTTTGACCTGACCTGAGAATATGGAACTTTGAAAGGGATGAGGGGAAAGAGGAGAGATGGAATGGAACAAGGAGAGAGGAAGAGAAGGGGAAGCACACACAGAACTAATCAAACCCAAGTGAGAAGTAGTAGTATTTGGAAAAGGAGTCCAAAAGGAAGAAGAAGAAGAGCAAGAGCAGAAAGTCTCTCTTCTTCTTCCCGGCTCAATTGATTCTTCTTCTATATTGCTTCTTCATTGAGCTATTTTGAGCGGCGAAATCCGTGGAGATTTAGGGATTCAGAAAATCTATTTTTGGTTTCTCCTACCGAGTAGCTGGACGATTTTCTTATAATTTTCAGTGTTTTAAATCCTTTTTATTTTCATTGGTCTAAATCTTTTTTCCAAAGGAGTAGCTGGGCGATTTTTTGCTCTTCTCTGTCTAGCCTGCTCACTTTACATCATTTTTCAATAATTTATGGCCTCTTTCTTCCCTTCTGAACACAATACGTACATGTTTGGACAGGTGTTTCTGGCATTCTTTTGACACATTTGCTCTCTTTTTTTTTCTTTAAAACAACAATCGCATGTGTTCAGCAAATTTTTAAAGTAGAAATTTCAGTAAATTCCTTATTTTCCTTATCAATAAACAATTAATTAATTAATTAATTTTGGCATCTGAAGTCAAGCATTTTGGAATAAGATGAAAGAAAATGTTTTCTAGTCCGCCGACCGGCGGGAAATTGAAATTTCGAATTTTTTCATATTTCTTGATTTGTGATTTTCGGGTTTTTAAAAATGATTTTCAATAAATCTCAGAAAATTTTGAAATTCGTATTCGCCGGCCGCGGACTAGGAATTTTTCTCTTCCATTTCAATTGTCCAATTTTGAGAATTTTTGACAAAAAACCATATTCACTCTCTTCCAACACGATAGAAATATTTTGAGACACTTTTATTATGCATGCATGTATATATATATTTAAATACAGGACAGTTTTCGTTGTATTAAACAAAATTTGTATTCATTTTTCATGATTTTTGAAGTTTGAACTAGACGATTATTATTGAAAAAGCCTGAATTCTTGCCTATGCTTTTCGGACCCTTTTGACTTCAAACCAGCTTATCTCGAGAACCAAAATAGTTTTATAAAAGTTGTCAACTAACAAAATGTGTAAAATTTACGCTTTTTATTTGGTTAGTAATCAATTTTTGACTAGCTTATTTGGTTTTTGAGTTATGCCCGTTTTAAGCAGCTCTTCATCTGATAGTGAGGCGCCATTGCCCAAGGCGTCCTAGCTTTGACCGCTTGTATCCTACTTGCTAATTTAGCTATCAAAATGTTATCAACTAACAAAATGTGTAAAATTTTAAGATCTTCATTTTACTATTAAATTTTTGTTTTTAACTTTTCTAGTTTCCAAGATAAATACGTTTCAAACGACACTAAGTCTGAGGTGCCCTGACGCCAGGCACCCTAGCTTTGACCGCGCTCATTTTCTCAAGTATTTGAGCTATCAAAAAGTTTTCAACAAACAAAATGTGTAAAGTTTTAAGATCTTCATTTTGTTAGTCAGCAGTTTTTATCTAGCTTATTTGGTTTTTGAGTTATGCACGTTTTAAGCAGCTCTTCATCTTATAGTGAGGCGTCATTGCCCTAGCTTTGACCGCTTGTATCCTATTTGCTAATTTAGCTATCAAAATGTTATCAACTAACAAAATGTGTAAAATTTTAAAATCTTCATTTTGCTAGTTAGTAGTTCTAAACGAGCTCTTTTAGTTTTTTAGTTATGCACGTTTTAATCTACTCTTCGGGTGTGGTGCCCTGGCGCCAGGCGTCCTAACTTTGACCGCGCTCATCAAGTATTTGAGTTATAGTATTTGAGTTATCAAAAAGTATTTGAGTTATCTCAAGTATTTGAGTTATCAAAAAGTTGTCAACTAACAAAATGTGTAAAATTTTAAGATCTTAATTTTGCTAGTTAACAGTTTTAAACTAGCTTATTTGATTTTTGAGTTACAATCGTTTGAATGAGATCGGATTTATCGACGCTTCAAAAGTAACGCCAGAAAGTGCGCTCACTTTGACCGCGCTCATTTTCTCAAGTATTTGAACTATCTGAAAGTTTTCAACTAACAAAATGTGTAAAATTTTAAGATCTTCATTTTACTATTAAATTTTTGTTTTTAGCTTTTCTAGTTTCCAAGATAAATACGTTTCAAACGACACTAAGTTTGAGGTGCCCTGGCGCCATGCACCCTAGCAGAACAAAATGTGTAAAGTTTTAAGATCTTCATTTTGTTAGTCAGCAGTTTTTATCTAGCTTATCTGGTTTTTGAGTTATGCACGTTTTAAGCAGCTCTTCATCTTATAGTGAGGTGCCATTGCCACAGGCGTCCTAGATTTGACCGCTTGTATCCTACTTGTCATTTCAGTTATCAAAAAGTTGTTAACTAGAGAAACGTTTAAAATTTTACGAAATTCATTTTTTTAGTTAACTTTTTTTAATTGGCTTTTCTGGTTTTTGAGATACATGCGTTTCAAGAAGCTATGTTTTTGTGACGCGGTAACTTTGAATCAAAATAAACTTCTAAAAATATAAGGATCTTTTTGATATTCACTATAAAAACAAAAACAAACTGACAGGATTTGTTTCAAAGTCACCAACTAGATTGTTCCATTAATCCCTCTCTCTTTCTATTTCAATCTCTTTCAACTATCCAAATAGAGGAAAAAAACGAAACCAATTTTATATTTTCACTCTCTCTCTCCCTCCCCACCTCTATTACTTCCTTAAATGATTCGTCGTGTTCGTGTGGCTCTAAAGTATGTCATTTCGCTTTTTCGTCAATTCTCTACTCCACGTTTTCTTCTTCTGTCGTCGTTCCCACTCATCTGAATCATTGCAGACACGCCAGTCCCATCTATGCTTCCGAGAAGAGCAATTTGATGCCTTCGCTGCTCGGCGCGCCGAATAATAACCGCCATCGACTCGTCTATTTAATATTGTGTTTTGCGTTTTTATACTTTTGGAATCGGAGGGAGCATTTGTATTCTGAGGAGAGTAGGAGGAAGGATGAGCAATTGGAATTGGTTCAGAGAGAACATGCAAGTGTGTTGGAAAAGTTGAGAGGTAGGTGGACTACGTATCTCGAGACCCCGAAAAGATTGAAAACAACTATTAATTCATAATAAAAGGTCTTGAAATTTCACACATTTTTTTAGTTAGCAACTTTTTGATATCTCAAATTGCAAGAAAAATACAGGCGGTCAAAGTTAGGAAACCTGCTGGCGTCCTGCAAGTGGCACCTCAGCCGAAGACCCTTTTCAAACGTGCATAACTCAAAAACCAAAAAAAAAATAGATAAAAATTACAAACCAACAAAATGAAGAAAATCAAATTTCGCACATTTTATTAATTAACAACTTTTTGATACCTCAACTAGCAAGTAGGATACAAGCACTCAAAGCTAGGACACCTGGCGCCAGCGCGCCACAGACAAATAGGCGCTTAAAACGTGAATAACTCAAAAACTAAAACAGCTAGTTGAAAATTACTGACTAACAAAATGAACTAATTTTACTATTTAGCATCTTTTTGACATACGGGTTGTCAAAGTTAGGACACTTGCTGGCGCCCCACCGGGGTAATCTTGGGGGCGCTTTAAACTTAGCGCCTTTTAAAACGAGCATAACTAAAAAACCAAAAGAGCCAGTCAAAAATTGTTCACTAAAAAAAATAAAAAGCGTTCAATTTTACAAGTTTTGTTATTTAACAACTTGTTGATATCTTTGATAGTAAACAGGATACGGGTGGTCAAAGTAAAGAGCCACAGACAAAGAGCTGCTTGAAACGCGCATAACTCAAAATCATAAAAGCTAGTGCCAAATGTTTGACTGACAAAATGAATATCTTAAAAATTCACACATTTTGTTAGTTAAAAACTTTTTGATAACTCCACTGGCTGTTGAAATACACCCATTTCAAGTTTCCCTGTACTATGGATGCACTATGCCAAAGTTTTAATCAGTTTTAACCGTTTTTATCTTCTGGACCAGTTGAGTTATCAAAAAGTTGTCAACTAATAAAAAGTGAGAAATTTTATGTTCTTTTTTTGTTAATTAACAATGTTTAACTATCTTTTCTGGTTGTTGAGTTATACACGCTTAAAGCGGTTCTTCGTTTAAGGTGCCCAATGGGCCACCCCCAGTAGGACGGCAGCAGGTATCACTTGAATCAAGCAAGTTACCAAAACTTTCGCTAACTTTTCAAGCTCCTTTCATTAAAAATTCATTTCAATTTTCAGTAATCTGGCTGCACAAGAAGAAAATCGAATCCGACTCCATTGCTCATAAAACCGAGTTGGAGAAATTCAATAGTAAAATCAAGCTGAAAGACTCGGAAATCTACGGGTATCGAACGAAAAACGAGCAGTGCAAACGAGAATTGCAGTCGTGTCATAATGTGAGTCGTGGACTAGAAAACGCATAGGCCATCTTATAATTTTCAGACTGATGATGGTGCTAAGGAGCCTCCGAAAGCCGACGCTTCCGAAGTTTCGGGTCTAAAACAAAAAATTGAAGAAATGCAGAAAAAACTCGAGGAGCAAGAGAACAATAGTAACTCGATGGCGGCGATTTTGAAGGTGAGGGACTAGAAAAAGCTGGGCCATGAGCAATAGAAAATTCATTGGTTTCAGGAAGAGCTAAAGCAGTGTGAGACGAAAATCCATCAATTGACAGGGGTAAGAAAATTAAAACTTCAAAAAAAGATAAAAGTTAGGAAGAAGCTGGAAATTGTTGACCATAACCATAAAGTGATGGATCGTCGAAAGCGAGTCCGGAGAAGGTTGTGGTCGGTTGACACGACCATGGTGTGTATGGGGACATGAATGCGTTGGGGTACATGTTGGAAGCGGCCGTGGAGAGGAGTTGCTGAAAAAATTGAGATACAAGGGTTTGCAGTTCAGAACACCAATTTTCAATGGTCCGTTGTTCAAATCATGATATTTTAAATTGTGAAAATTCTAGAGAATTGATTTTTATATTGTTGAAATTGTCAGAAAATCTGCTTCAAGTTGCAATTAGTTTCAAACTTCTAGGTTAATTTTGAGGCGAGATACAGGCATTTGAAAATCGTTGTCGGCGTCTCTTCTTAACTTTAAATGGCCGTAACTCGGCTTCTAGAAGGCCTAGAAATTCGGTTTTTGAAGCAAAAATATCGCACGGAAATTCTTCATCATTTGATACCGGCAATGACTGACTAGCTCATTTTGAAGTAAGAAAAATTTCCCAACCTGCTGCTCAACAGTCCTTGAATCCGTTGTCATCTGACCGAGACTCGTGAAGAAGCTAGAGCTCGAGATTCCTGGAATCAACGGTTTCATCTCTGCCAATCCGCCATCTTTGATCAAAGAAGATTCTTCCGAAGGGACCGCTGGTATCGGGGGCGGAGCCACAAGAGAGGTGTCGAAATGGGTGGTTGGGATGGTTGGGAATGTGTAGAGGGAGGTGTCGAAGGTAACGGATGCCATGGAAGAGGAGCTCGTGGAGTTGGATGATGGATCGATTGGGGCTGTTGGGTAGGGGAACTGGAAATTCGATTTGGAGACATCGAAAACATTCCTCTAGAGTGCAAAACCCCGTGAATTCTCAATTTGGATGTATTTGAGGTCAATTATCTCAGTTCCTAAAAAAGAAATCAAATGGCTGCCAACTGATGAAATGTTGGTGATATTATGACAAACATTTTATCAGTTGACAACATTTTGATATCTCGTTGTAGCAATTAAGAAAATTGATCTCAAAGATCGCGTTTAGGGTAAGCTTCTATTATGGTATGTAAAGTATAAGCCACTTACGCTTATTTATCTCGGCTCCTGAACGAGATATCAAAAATGTGTCAACTGATAAAATATTGATGATGTTATGACAAACATTTTATCAGTTAAAAATTTATTCATACCTCTCACGGGAACTGAGATAATTGAGATTAAATTAGCTCTAGGCTCACCTTGAAAAACTGAAACGCCTCCATGGTTTGAATATTTTGTGGCCATTTCAATCCGTTGAAAAATGGAATTTGTTGAGGCAGAAGGGCTCCTTGATCCACTGCCGAATCCGGTGTTTCATTGTTGTTGTTGTTGTTCGGATAGCCCATTTTCGAGATTCCCATTCTTTTGACTCGCCTGGAAAATTGAAATTCGGGATCTTTCAGAAGATTTTCCTAGCAAAATGTCAAAGTTCCATGTTTTACTTTTTTATTTGAACTCTGAATTAAAAGTAAAGAATGCATTTTGAGACAAAGTTTTGAAATTTTCTAGAAAAAAATTCCAATTCAGACCCAAATCTTGAATTTCTGGTAATTCTGAATTCTTGAATTTCTTCAATTCCTAAAACCAACCTTCTTTTAAAATTGCCATTATCAAATTGTGGTGCGTTATCAGCCACCATTTGCCAATAATTGCCTTTTCTATCATTGGCACATGATTGCCCATCTCTTGCCTTTTTGACAAAACAGTCATTTAAAGACAAATTATGACGAATGCTGTTCTGCCATCCTTGTTTCCGTTTCGCATCACAATCACGGTAATAAGGAAACTTCGCTTCGATGAACTGCAAGAAAAATATTTGAGCTGAAGTTCGAGATTCTAAGAATCCTAAGAATCCTTTAATTCGCCGGAATCCTAAACTCCAGAATCCAAGGCTATTTTTCCCCCATTTTCTTTCCTCTAAGCCAACAAAAAAGTTGATGTGTCAATTCAGATTATTTGGTTTTGTTTCTAAATGTTATGGGAGAGTGGAGGTACCACCGGGAGGGACCAATTAGTCAGCATCATCTATATAAGGTGAAAATTATGAGTCAGGAAAACCAAAAAAGAGGAAATGGAGAAACTAATGGTTACTATAGTTCTAGGGTTACTGTAATTTCTAAAAGTTACTGTAGAGTCAAGTGGATCCTGTCATAAATAACATTGAGTTGCTGTTAAACAGAAAAAAGGTTACTGTAGCAGTGAACAAAAGAACTGGTGAACGAAATAGCATGGGTTGCTGTAGTGGACTTACTCAAGGAACTGAAAATTTGGGATACTGTAGAATACTGTACATTTTGAAAATAACAAAATATTTCACATTTACAAACACAAAACGATGAATCTCTTGGAACTTACTGTTTTTCGGAAATTTAGATTTCGGAATTCTGAAAAAGCGGGTTTTTTTGATTTTTCAATTTTTATAATTTTTAAAATTTTCCAGTCCAACTTTGGTGAAATTTCTAAACAATACACGTTATGATTACTGTAGGTTCAACTGAGACTCTACTGTAAGCCTGGACTACGGCAAGGTGTTTCCAAAGTTACCGTACTTTTGGGGGTCCCTGTAGAGTAGCGTCGATGAATTCAACATCATTTTTGGATTACTGTAGGCTATCCAGCATCTTCTGTAGCTCATCTACAGTAATCCCTTTGGATTTCTTATTACCGTAACCAAGGATTACTGTATTTTCTGAGTTTCCCTCATTGTATCTTGCCATAAGTGGCATTAACGTAGGCTGTCTACAGTAACCCTATAGGTAGATTCCATGTCCTACTGAATACGCTACTATATTTCCAAAGTTACTGTACTTTCTGGGGTTACTGTAGACTACCTGGTCATCAGCACCGTGATACAGAATTTTCCTTTAACACTATTGAATAACTGTAGGCTCCGTTAACCCTAAGTCATAAGGTAGTTCCTAACAGGCTACAGTAAACTATGGTAACCTACACTAACCTTCCAGCTAGATTATAACTCAAACTGAACCAATACTATTAATCTAAAACCACTTATCGACAGTAACCCATTTACAATAATCCGCACAAGCCTTAGAAAAAAGCTAGATTCGATGTCCGAAGACGCTACAGTAACCGGTCTCTAAATTGATATATCATCACATGGGTTACTGTAAGTCATCTAGAATCTACAGTAACCCATCTACAGTAATTCCCCTACCTTATAAATCTGATTCAACGTCATTCGCTTATCAGGCGATGCTTCAATAGCCATCGCAATAAGTGCCACATAGCTGTACGGTGGTTTGTCAGTTGAGTTTCCCTCTTGTCTGAAAACAAAAAAACAAATTTAAAGAAAAATAGAAAATGTTTAGAATTTTTTATATTGAAAAATCTTTTTATTTTTTCAATAAATATTACAAAAAGGTGCCCAAAAACAAAAAAATATGGAAACTTACACAATATGAAATGGTAGATGTGTTTGGTGACGTGTCATTTTTCAGAAGAGGTCCCAAAAAAGTGTTAGGACCTTTTTAAGGGTTGGTAACAAAAGTGGGCGGAGCTTAGAAAACGTTGGTGTCGGAGGAAAATGTCGCTCGGGGGAAGACACGGGAAAAGCTTCTGACATTTTCTGAGCTGATTCACTCGAGAGGGGGAAAAAGAAATGGTAGGAAAAAGGGGGAAAGAAGATATTTTGTAAATATAAAAAATGATTGAGGAGAGGGAAAAAAAAAAGTTTTTGTATTTTTTACAACTTTTTTTTGTATTACAGGGAGGAGCCATCGAGCACTATACGCAAAATGAAACGGCACATTTTCAAAGGGTACAGAAGGTAAGAGTTATTTTTTCAGAACTTCTAGGAGGAGTACTGCAGGTTTTTGTCGTTGAATTCCTGAATTTCTGAAATTCTGAAATTCTGAATTTCTGAATTTCTGAATTTCTGAATTTCTGAATTTCTGAATTTCTGAATTTCTGAATTTCAGAATTTCTGAATTTCTGAATTTCTGAATTTCAGAATTTCTGAATTTCAGAATTTCTAAATTTCTAAATTTCTGAATTTCTGAATTTCTGAATTTCTAAATTTCTGAATTTCTGAATTTCTGAATTTCTGAATTTCTGAATTTCTGAATTTTTGAAATTCTGAATTTCTGAATATCTGAATTTCTGAATTTCTGAATTTCAGAATTTCAGAATTTCAGAATTTCAGAATTTTCGAATTTCAGAATTTCTAAATTTCTGAATTTCTGAATTTCTGAATTTTCAAATTTCTGAATTTCTGAATTTCTGAATTTCTGAATTTCTGAATTTCTGAATTTCTGAATTTCAGAATTTCAGAATTTCAGAATTTCAGAATTTCAGAATTTCAGAATTTCAGAATTTCTAAATTTCTAAATTTCTGAATTTCTGAATTTCTGAATTTCTGAATTTCTGAATTTCTGAATTTCTAAATTTCTGAATTTCTGAATTTCTGAATTTCTGAATATCTGAATTTCTGAATATCTGAATTTCTGGATTTCTAGATTTCTGAATCTCTGAATTTCTGAATTTCTGAATTTCTGAATTTTCGAATTTCTGAATTTCGAATTTCTGAATTTCTGAATTTTCGAATTTCTGAATTTCGGAATTTCTGAATTTCTGAATTTCTGAGTTTCTGAATTTCTGAATTTCAGAATTTCTGAATTTTTGAATTTTCGATTTTCTGAATTTATGAGAGTTTGTCAAGCCCTCAATCCCCATTTTAATTCCAAAACCTGCCAAAATGTTGGTCAAATTTCAAAAACCACTTCTTATCCAATTTTTCATGTCATCATTAATCAATCAATCACTTTGACTGTTTCACTTTTTATAATTTATCATTATCAACAGAAACCTTAAAACTTATCTAAACCTGTGATAGATAAAAACGAGGGAAATTCCAAATGTTTCCAATCTGATAAGAAAAAGATAAAAATTGAGATCAAAGGTCTGTGAGGATTTCAAAAATTGACTAGGTACCTTATGGGGCATGGTACCATACCCTTAAGTTTCCCATAGTTTACAGATAAACCATAACCTAGCTACCTTGTATCATATGTGTAAGACTCAAGGTACCATATCGGTCACCGTATAGTTTTCCATAGTGCCCAACTACCGTAGTTGGTACCATTTTTGGTACCATATGGGTAAGATGGAAGAAGTTTCTGATAATGCCCATGGCTTAGAGTTTTACCATAATCTAGGTATCATCTAGCTTCATCACTCGGTACTATGAGGGTTTGAGATACAATGGTTACAATGGTTCAAGGTTGCACCATAATAGCTATTATATTTGGTACCATGATACCATATTTGGTACCAAGGTATCATATGGTTCACCTTCTGCCTTATACCATATCGGATTTGCTGTAACATTGAGTGCCTCAAGAATACCAGGTACCATATGGATCTAAAAACGTACCATGATACTATAGTCTACCAATCTAAATCTATGGTTTTCAGGCTAATGAACCATTATTCTTCGACCGAGGCAACATTCAACATCATGTTCCTGACAAACTTATGATGGGAAGACAATTAGCCCAAACGCTGGAAGAAGTCAAAGCGAAGAAAATGGCAGATAAAGAACAATTGGATAAACATCCAATGGATAGAGAGAATCAGGGTGAGAAAAATGAGAAAATTGTGGCCCCAATCACGGTTTTTTTTTAATTGAAAAAATCAAAATTCCTAATTCTGAACCTCTAATTAAGACTTACCCCGTATAGTTTAAAAATTCGAGATCTTCATACTCAAAATAATACACTGTTTCAGTGGTGTCCATTGCTGATAGCATGATCTCTCGATCCCACTTATCGAAACCGCAAATCTCTGGTTCGCTTTTGTAGGAAAAGTAAAATTATGCGACTGCTTGTCTGTCTTGTTGATCCGCAGAAAAAGAGAAGACGTCCTTCTGACTCTCCTCCCCTTCTTCTGTCGTTTGTATATTCAAATATACCTATCTGACAAAAATAACATATTCAAGAGAAATTAGAAATTAGTGAAAATTGTAGAAACCAAGTTTTGAAAGTCTGAAAATACGCATAAAAAAGAAATTCTGAAAATAAAATCTACTTTTGAAAATTTCGTCAACTTGGAAATTCTAAATTCCGAAATTAAGAAGTCTAAAATTCGGAAATCTGGAAGTTTCAAATTTCAAGAACTAAAAATAATGCGATCTCTAGAAATTGGAAATTCTGAATTTCCGAAAGTCTGAAATTTGATGAAGGTTTGCAAATCTAAAAATGTCGAAATTCTGAAATTCTGGAACTGAAGGAAACTCGAAAATCCAAAAAGCCTAGTAATTCTAGGAAATTTTCGAATATTCGAAAATTCAGAAGATTCAAGAGTTTCTGGATAATCTGAAATTCGAGAAAATTCTGAAAAATTCAACATTTCAGAAATTAAATTTCTCTTAATTTAAAGTCTTGAGGAAAGTTTCAGAAATTCAGAAATTCAGAAATTCAGAAATTCAGAAATTCAGAAATTCAGAAATTCAGAAATTCAGAAATTCAGAAATTCAGAAATTCAGAAATTCAGAAATTCAGAAATTCAGAAATTCAGAAATTCAGAAATTCAGAAATTCAGAAATTCAGAAATTCAGAAATTCAGAAATTCAGAAATTCAGAAATTCAGAAATTCAGAAATTCAGAAATTC